TAAGCGAGTAACTAACCCAAATAGGATAGGTACTTGTATTACGTCAGCCAGCCATTAACTCGTTGACCTCCTTGATAAGGGAAAATCAACATCCAACAATCAGGCTTAGAGATGAGAAGAGAAAACAGTTTTCCAAAAACTTTCCACAATACTAAGTTGGTTGGCTATAGAGTATATCCATAAAGTCGTACATAGAATCCTGAAAGCCGACATTTGATGCAACATGTAACCAAATAACTATGAAAGACCAATTTCTGCCAAACTTCCTGACTATCAGCTGGTTCCTCAAGGCCACGAATAGAGAATCCCTAGTCGGCCAACCACTAGCAAGCTTACATACCCAAGCGAGAAAAAAAAATATAAAAAAAAAATAAATCTTGAGCTTTTAATGCCATTGATTTTGAGTGAAACCATCCCCCAGAGCCCCGTCTTCGAGGCTGCGGATAAAGTCTCTATTTCCACCATTATTCCCAGCACGGCTGCTTCTCCTCCATCCACCAGAGCTGGATGTATCGGCGTATCCATCAGCTGGAGGAGGATAATATGCGGGACTAGGCTGTAGTCGAATCGGCGAATTCGGATCAAGATGACTGGCAACCCGTTGTATCGATTGGGGTATTCCACTCTGTTGCTGTTCCATTGTTGTGGCACGTTGGCGACCAGCCCGTGTTGTTGCTTGAGCATACAAGCTTTGTGATGCACCACTACCACCACCATACTGCTGCTGCTGCTGCTGCTGGGGTAAATGGCCTGCCTGTATCATCGGAATTTGGTAGCCCGCTGGCTGGGAAGGATATGGGGGCGGGGGGCCTTGCTGCTGCTGGCCTGGGTACATATTGTTGCTGTACACGGGAGGCGGAGGAGGTTGGTTGTGCGGTGTATTGAATTGGTTCATTTGTAATGCATACGCAGACTGAGCCTGTGCTTGAGCAGCCTGAGCAGCCTGAGCCCGTTGTTTATATGCTGACTCCGCTTGCTGTTGCTGTAGAACACCCGGGGAAATAGATTTGTTTACTACCGACGATTTCAAATGTACTGGCGGGACAAAAGGTTGTGTGAACTTTTGTTGAGTAATAAATGGATGTAGTTTTGCTTGTTGTGGTGACCACCTCTCTAAAGGATTGATTGATAATAAACCACGCACAAAATCCATGAAGGCCACACGGTTATTCATTTCTAGCAAGATTAGCATAAGCTTGGAAATCAGGACCCATGGGCAAGAAAAAATACCTCTATCAATCTCAGCCTGTCTCATATTCTTCCTTGGCATTGCATAAGTTCTGATGATTTCGGGCAACGTTGTAGCTTGAAAATACTTCTTGCTTGGCTGCTCCTTGGTTTTGTGTTCTCTGGAATACTGCTCCATGCTCTTAAGCCGGTAACTTCGCCTGCCAAATTCGTCTTGGGTTTTCTCGAAAAACTCGCCCGACTGTTTACCCATTTCGAGCATCCACGTTGGAGGCATACCGAGCATTTCTGTTATTCTGGAAATTTGGTTATATTCCGATGATCCCGGAAAAAGGGGAAGTCCAAGAAACAGTTCAACAACAATACAGCCCAGAGACCACATATCAATGGCAGAGGAATAACTAAGAAGGAATGGAAGTCAGTATATGGAAGATCAACACAGGCCCCCTTATATATTTAACTTACGGTAAACCTAACAGGACCTCTGGCGAGCGGTAGAACCTTGATTGAATGTAGGTGTAGACCGTCTGTCTTTCATCACATGCAGATCCGAAGTCGATGATTTTTATGATTGGGCTCTCAAGGCTAAGGAATGAGAAATGTAGTTAGCATGTCTGTTGGTGTGTGCGCGTATTGTTTCAAAGGCAATAGGAGGGGCAAATACTTTTTAAGCAAAATATTTTCAGGCTTCAAATCACAATGGATCAGGCGAGCTTTGTTGAGTAGTGAAAGCCCATTCAACAACTGTTGTGCAAAGACACGCACAAGGGTTGTGCTTAGCCCACGGAATTGATTCTGTTTTATCAACTCATACAAGTTGACACTTAGCAATTCGAAGACTAGGCATAGATGCTGTCTATGAATAAATGTGTCTTTCAATCGTAGAAGATGATGATCATCGTTCTTGTCTAACTTGCTGCTTATCTGTTATCATAATTATTAGCGCAACATGCCCATGACAATAATAGATAAAGATCTTACCAAATCCAACACAGATACTTCCATCATACTCTGATTAAAGTATGCAGTCTTGTTTTTTATGACTTTTACAGCAACCACTTCTTGAGTTTTCAAATTCTGGCATTTTACAACCTGACCAAATGTGCCTTGGCCCAAAACATCAAGAATGAGGTAACGATTTCTAAGGAGGAAAAATTAGCATAGTCTTTATACTGCAACTGAAAACCAGTTTCCATACTTATGATTGGCTTCTTCGCTGCCAAGAATATCATTGACATAGAGAATATAATCACTGTCTTCATTGTCATAACCATCATTTTTCACACCCTTGCTCGGTTTTGTCAAGACTCGTCGGGGATTTCTAGAGGACTCGAACTTAAACGTCGGGTTACAAATTCTATACGTGGCAGGAAGGTGCGTAGTGAGGGCTTGCAGTGGCTAAAACAGTATGGCCCCAGATTAGCAAAGGAACAAATTTGAAAGGGGGGTCGTGGAGATACTTACGCTGATGAATCCCCCTTCAGGGTTGGCCCGTCGAAAGGCAGGTTGTTTATTGATGCGGGGTTTCAGTTCTTGTGTTGACGAGATTTTTTGGAATCGAGGGACGGGGCCTCTACCGATTGTAGTATTGACGGGCTGGGTTTGGTGCGACGGTGATCGTTGTGATTTCGCATCCTGGCTAAACGCTGAATGGAGTTGGAGGGTTGCGGACTGAGGGTAATATCGCTCAGGGTTGTGTTCAGCTGAGTGCATTGGAGGTAGACGGGGCGCCTGTGGTCTAGTTGGTGCAGCTTTGTGTTGATAAAAATGTCAGCAAATGAAAGGAGAGATGCCGCCTGTACGGATTTGGGTGACTAAGACTTACGTGGAGGTGGTGATTGATATGATTGTGACGGAGAATTAGATGGCATTGTTGGCGGAAAGCCGAATGAATTCTGACCAATGCTAGGGCTTTGGGCGAAGGGTATAGATGGCGAGAGGACGTTAGGTGAATATCTACGCGCGGCAGCGGACGAGTCATCGCTTGCTAAATATTGGGAAGACCCTCGTTGATGCTGCTGAGTTGGACGGACAGGATATTTTGATCGATTGTAAGGATCGGCATCGTCTTCCATCGTAATATCTGTGTCGATTAGGTCTCGTGTGCTCGGTGTACCGGAGGGAGACGAAGCCATAGAACTTGAACTGACATCAGGGGCGTTCGAGGGAACCTTAGGTACAGAGCTGGGCGGTTGATAAGTTTCATACGTATAACCTAAGGGAGCCTTTTGATGCTGGGGTTGGGCCTCTAGATCTGATGAGTGATTCTTCTGGTTCCCTTTACCCCCAATGTTGTTTGTAAATTGCCCAGAGCCGTTCCCTGACGGATCTGTATGGGGCTGCCACTGCATCTCCATCGTTAGCGGCAGGAATTGATGGCCCTTAGTTAACAATTAATATATTGGACAGTAGTCAACGGCGTGTGTTACTTGCGGCAGCGATGGCGAAGGCGAAGGCAAGGGCGAGTGCGATGGTGGTGACGGTGATGAATGTCGGGGGATAAGTGATTGTGCTACGACATATGACCTCGATTATTTGAGGTTGCCGAACAACGGAAGTTAACGATGAAAACGTGAGTTCCGATGTTTTTAAGGTCGCTTATAAGATTCCGAGACGGACAAGACAAAAGATTGACAGGTATACGAGGTACGTAGGAACTCAGTGCGATCGGAACTTCAGAGTTACTGTTGCGAAGAGTTGGGCATCTTGGGCGGCAGGACGGAAGAACTAGATAGACTGCTGGTTTCCTCCACCGAACCGCGAGAAGGAAATTGCGACTTGAAATCACCTGTGATGGGCCATTCAGTATAGCCAGTCGAGGTCGCTCCTCGAGGGAAAATAACAAGGTCCCTGCGGAACAGAAGGCGAGCGGAGGTGAAGACTTTCCAAGTTCCAGTTGTGTGGCCTGGAGACGACTGGTGGACGTTGGGGGGGCTGAGGATGTGGGGAGCGATTAAGCCCAAGCGGATAGAAATCGAGCCCCGTCTCGGCCACGGGGCAGGTAGGGTTCAGAAAGTTGGTGGATGGGGAGGGAGAGTGTATGATAATACTGCTGCGCCGACTTGAACGATTCCCTTGCTGAAGGTGGACGAGAGGGATGTCGTTGAGGTGGGAGTGCAAGGCAGCGCAAGGAAGCGTCTGGTGGGCCAGCCAAGCACCATTCCCGCGACTCATCTCATGCCATCGCATGTAGTTCGTTCACAACCAACTAACTATTTTAACTGCCACTTGTCTGGTCGAGATTATTATTTCAACTTATCAACTTCTTCTGGTTCTTCAAGTCAAGCTCATATCTACAGCAACATAAAAAAGATGATACCTAACCAAGTTGGTTTCCGACATAATTCAGTTCAAAAGGCACCCCCTTTAACTTGGATTCACGTCTTCAGAAACAATCATCAGAAATAGCCGATTCTTTGGAATCCCTACTCTCTCCTATCCCTCAAACCAATCCTATCCTAATGTGCTGGTACTAGTTAGTTAGCTTCCCTTAGTCTGTCGCTCAAGCCACCGATTCTTATTGCAGAGTGCGTGTTCTCGCTTTCCAGAAATTTAGATATAATAGTATTTATGACTCTATAGTCCGCAACCCTACTCTTCGAGGAAATTATTTCTCTATATCCCAGATGTCCTGTCGTTTTCCTTCCCAAGATTCGAGTTTCGGGTTGGGAGATAAAGTTCACTTAGTGTTCCAAAGTGGCAATAGATAAAATAAATGGATGCACGTCAACAATTCAATTCAGCTCACTAATTCAAACAATATGTTATTTTTGGCTTGTGAAGTTTGGAACCCAGATAATTTCACAGCAAGAGGCGCGATGGCGGAGTGGTTATCGCGATAGCCTAGAAAGCTATTTCCTTCGGGAGCGCAGGTTCGAATCCTGCTCGCGTCGTTTCTTTTTTTTTTCTTTTTCGTTTGTTTCTCGTCTCTTCGTCTCCCAACCGCACGTAGCTCACAATCAACAGAGAGGGTGATAGTACCACCACAAGCGAACATTCATTTCACATTAACGGAGTATCCAATCAAGGTAGATTCAGTATCTATTCAACCTTCATTTTTTTTTTCCATTTTCTTTTCTAACAAGTTATACAGTTAGACAGGGCTCTTCAAGAATATATATTCTGGCCATGGCTACCAACTTCAACATCCCCCCGTCCAACATACCAGACTCTGCCGCTGTCATGAAGACCGAGCTTTCCCAAGACCCACAGGTCAACGGAAGTAACTTGAAGCTTAGCAACTGGAACAACGAGAGACAACTAGTATCTGAGCTATGGACATTACAGCAGATGGATCTTCGTGTAAGTGCACAGTACTGCTTGTCTACCATACCCTGTTGGATATTCTTTCTATCACTCACAATAGCGATGGTGGCGCTGTCTCCAAGATATGCTTTAACATCTATCCATCTGTCTTCACCTAAAACCTCTAGCTGATAGTCCCTAGATCCAACGACTTCGTAGTCTTGTTCCTGAGCGTTTGATGGCGCCGTTAAAACCCTTCATTGCTCAAAGCTGGGAATCTGGAGCGGACCAAGTACTTCCAGGAGATCTCTTTCAACTACTTTCACAGGCAGTAAAGGACGGGATAACAGAGCTCGATGATTTCAAATCTTCATGGAATTCACCAGAGATGGGGACAATTTTAAACCGTGTTGACCAGCGATTGGCCCAGCGAGGAGGCGAGTATCCTCATATGAACGGAATCTGGCACCATAGCTACGAGGCTATGCTAAAATCTCTAGAAATCCAAGGGCAAATGCTAGGGGAAGAGGATGCAATCAGAAAGGAAAATGAAGAAAAAATCAATTTGCAGTACTCTAATGGAGGCTGGAAATCAATCCTCTCTGCATTTATGGCACGGGATTCGCCAGGGATTCTGGTCCAGGATCTCTCTACAAATGATGCTGCATGTTTCTCTATCATCTTACAGGCGATCTCCGTCGTCTTTTACATACAACATGCACGAAACACTCGGTCCCAGGATGCCGAAATATGGCACGTGAATTCTGGAATTCAGCAAAACCCGTCAAAGTTAACGATAGAAATCTTGGAATGCATACAATCCCGGGGGAAAAAATGGGATTTGGGGTATTTGCTGGTATGTTTATATGAGCCTATAATCTCTTCTTTAACCTGAGTATACTAATCAACAAACAGGAAATGATTGCTTCTTATGCTGAAATTAAAACCTCGCCTTGTGTTGCATGCAAAAATTTGATCGATAGCAGCGCGCAGCTCCCCACTAAACGAATACCAAGGCCACTACCTTCGCTGAACAATACCACTAGCTATGCTTGGGATCCGTACCACTCGCTTTGCATTTAGCTCTTGCTAACCTCATTCTCCTTCTCCTTCATACCAGAGGTTAAAAATTGTTTAAATTAACGATCTCGTCATGGTTAATCTGCCAGGGTTCAACCGGATACTGAATTCCCATCTGATCCCAAATAGCTATCGGGATCCTTATATCACCAAACCCGTCATCGTTTGGATACTGGACGTAACTCCAAGTATTCATATCCGGGATCTTATACTTTCTTGTCCGAAAATCGTATCTCTGCTGTTTCCTATCCCAACATCGAAATAGGGGTGGTAAAAGATCATCCTCTGCATCATCTGCCGGATACACGTCTGCCCATCGCGACCATCTAGCCCTGCTAGGCCCAACACGCGGACCATCTAGAGGCCCAATGAACATATCCGGTCCTCTATTGCGGAGAACATCCATAATCCTTTTCCCGAACGGCCATTTTGTTGGATTGCCTGGTTGGGGGTCTCTGGGCCATATAAAACCGATTTGTCGTTTTGGCGACATGGGCTCGGAAGGATTTGAAGCTAGAGTAATGATGGTGACGAGGATTTTTGTTGTTACTACCGAGTTTCGACTTGTTGAGACGCGATGTTTCGTTTTTACATCCAGGCCCAAAATGAGAGAACATGGTCCGCCTCTATTAATACTCCCGTTCCTTCTTCACAAAAATTTTCGGGCCACCCTCCCATGCCCATCTGTTTGACGGATTGAACGTCAGTCAACGCCTTGCTTGCTTGTGGTGGAGCCTCATGCAACCAGCTATCAACATTGTTTCCATACAACGGCGACAGAGCTGTATGTCTGATCATTTCTCGCATTCCGCTCCTAAAGCAATGCATCAGTAGTGGCCAATAAATAGATAGACAGACTATCACGAAGAGCAAACAATCAATTGAATGTTCTGTCTGTATTTGCTATTTCTTAACAATCGACCTGTTAGGGCAAACTAGTCCTGCTTGCTGCCCTCGAATTATTGTTTATAATGTATTTGGCCTTGAAACTCGATCGCCTGAGCAAATGAGCTGGCATAAATAAACATGAGAAAACGACCCGATAAACATGCAGACAGGCAGCTAGACGCAAATATCAAACTGAAGAAAATATTGTTTGCCATTAGATCGTACATTATATCATAGACTATGGGAGTTTCGAGATTATGTATTATGGTTTAATTTTGCTTTTTACCATTCCTTCACGAATAAAATAAGTCCTAGTAGCAGGAACACCGATGCCAAACGCGTAAGTAGCCCATACCAACAACCCCATTGCCAAATGAAAGGAGAAATTACAGAAAATGGAGAAGGGAACTGGGGAGATTAAAAGCTGAAATATCGCTCAAAGAAAAAGGAAAGGGGGAAAGGGAAAGTTAAATGAATATGTCGGAACCAGATGAGGGGGTAAATCTCAAAAAATTGTTCTTAGGCGAAGAGTCCGAATCCACGGGCAAATACAGTAAAGGAGCAGAAGACAACACTAACGATCCCAAACATGAAGAACAGTGTTTGCCGCTCCATATCAGATACAGCTGCATTGTTATCACGTTCTGCAGGTAGAGGAGAAATCGTGGTTAGCGAAGAACTGGATTAAGAGATCCATTAGGGTGGTGGATATCAAAAAATAACTCACTGCTTATTTTATTGGTTGTCTTGGGAGAATATACGCCGAAAATTAACGGTCTTGAATTGCCCAGATGGCCAGCTGGAGCGGGATCTGTTGGGCCGCGACTTGAATCATGGACATAGAGAGTATACCAGTCGTTCAACAGGGGTGCGTCACCGGTTTTGTCTAGTTTTGTGTCCCAAGTTACGGCACCTGTCTCTTGGACGGTCTGGTTTGCGGCAAGGGTATAATAATGGCTGTTGAGGGGACAGTATGCAACAATGTCAATTGCTGTAGGGGTAACGATCAAATTGGTATAGTTCCAGGCGAACGTCGCGTATGATCCAATTTTAACATACGTTGTCGGATCAAAAGGGCCTGGTGTGATCATCTCGATGCCACCGGCTGGAGAACGAGGGTCAACGGAGGTGGTCTTGGGTCTACTAGAGGTCCTTGATCCCGAGCTCCTGCGGCTAGAACGCCCAGTTTCCGTAGAGTCTTCATCAGTGTTTGTTGCAGATTCATCCCTATTTGTTGATTCGCTGTCGTTAGTTTCGGTGGAATCTGGGGTTTGTGTAGTACGACGGGAAGTATCACGGGTGTTCGAGGAGGTTCTCGTAGGCTGGGATGATTCTGTGTTTTCTACGGTAGATAGAGATATGAATCAGTAGCCACAAAGGAGAAAAAGGTAGGAGAGAAGCGGTATAATAGACTTCATTGAGTAGCTTACCGTCATCCTGGCGTTTCATGAATCCAACATTTCCCCGTGAATCATAAGGGGATGCTCCGACTAGGGAAAGCAGAACCACCAGTGAGAGGAATAAGAGAGTAAATCGTATTGACTGCATGTCGAAAATGTACCCTCCGCTAGCACGGAATAATTTGATCCAAAACTACTTGCAGGCCTCCCTCCTTGTTTTCCCTCACTCGATGCCGAAGAGCGAAGATGTCACGGTGTGCTGCACAGCAAAAAGAGAAACGCTTCAGGGCCAGATTATTCCACGGGCTATTTTGAAACACTGGTATAAAATAAATACTCAATCGTCTTCGGAAAAATTATTGAAAAAGAAAGAAAAAAAACAATTTCTTAGAGGCGGGTAGGAGGGTGGGCTGAGAATGTGTTGTCTCTAAGGAGTGAGCGATAAGGGAGAATGCACAAAACAAAGCTGTTTTGGCGATATTGGAGAGCAGAGAGAGCCAAATGACAGGCTGAAATTAGGAATAGCGAAGGCAAGGAATAGTCAAAATTATATAAACGATAGTATGGAGAAGAGAAACGAATGGGATAGGAGACAGACAGCACAAAAAAGAAGCGAAGAGATCCAAAAGTTGCTTGAGTGGTTGTTTCAAGTGAGACAGTGAGAGCCCTGACAGTACCATACAGCAATACAAGCCTCCACAGCCTAGAAAGTATGGTAAATGTTGTAACGAGGCGGTCCCAGAAGTGATTCGTTTTTATTTTCTAGATCTGATTTGAAATGATAACTATCTCGCCCCTAATCGATGTACTTTCTATTTTTCTATATAACTTAGTTTATCAACCTATTTCTTTACATACTCGGGCTTCAGCACCCACTTTCCTCGGGCCTGAGTTCCTGTCTTGTCAAGCACAGCAATCGCCTTCAGCATTTCCTTAAATTCTGCTGTTGCCTTCGGAGAAGTACAGTATCTGTTGAAGTGGTTCACCAACATCTGCGTATAGACCGCTCCTCCGTGTATTGTAATATAATCCCGAATCATAGCCATAAATTCTTTGCCAGATGGTCCGGTACTTGGGGCCGCAGAAGCAGGGGAGCCTGTCCGTCCTGGCCGACCAGGAAAGTTCCTCGAAAGATTTGCTAGGACACTCGCTGAAGATGGGCCCCCGGTAACTCGACGAGCAGGACTATTGCCACCTCCGTACATATAGGTGTTGCCGGCGGGCCGTGCATCCTCGGGCCTTCCTGTCGTGCCGTACTGGCCAGTCCATGTCGGAGTACC